TTTGATTCTGAAACCTACTAAGAGTTCTTGCCCCACAGATTTTTTGGCGCCGTTCATTTTCCTCAGGTGTGAGTTTTGATGAACAAACAAGTGGGACTAGAAACAACCAGAGCTTGATCCTCATGACTGCCCTAAAGAAAACGTTAAATGGCTATCCAGATAGTCACGTGAGATAAGTCCCATGCTTTTATGAGCATCTTCAAGCACTGATTTCGAATTAGCTTTCAAAATGTGCTCAGCGATTTTCCTGCTTAGAAAGTATGAAGCCGAGTAGCGCAGAAGTAGTTATCCGAGTCTCCAGGCAGGAGTTTGTGGGATCGGACTCTTTGAGAAGCTGCTCACTCGCTTTTACCGGCGACAGTTCTGAAAAGGCCGTTTACACGGTGTTCCATATAGGCTCCTATAGCTAGCCGTATAAGGGTTTGCCCCTCTTACCGTCTTTCTACCAAAGACATCCTCTGACGCCATCGGGACACACCACCCCCAGCTATCATAAACACCTGGCTCACTTGTCGTTCCGTTGATCATCGAATTGCTCGAGCGGGCGCCAGCAACGTCTCCATTCGTCCCTGTCGCGTGCAAGAGTGTCCAGTGGATCCTCCTCGCTCGAGGGACACGAAGTCCTTCATTCCTTTCGTTCAGAGCTTTCGTGAAGAAGTCTGACCATCGGGCCGGCGGTCGTCCAGGTGTTCGTTTGACGTCCCGAGGGATCCAGTCGGTAACCGCTCTGGTCCAACGGTCATCGCAAAATCGCATGACGTGTCCGGCCCACCTTATCTTCGATTCCTTGGCGATCCCCGATCTTCGATCGTTGGCGTAGTTCAAAACTCCGGATTCCCCTCTGCACTTGCGTGTATAGGGTTACTCCTAGCATCGTCTCTCTCGACAGCGCGTTGGATAACGCTGACCGCATGCTCGTCCTGCCTGCGCAGAGTCCAAGTCTCTGAGGCGTAGGTTAGGGCAGGAAGGACAGCGGAATCGAAGAGGTGGGCACGGAGCCGGATGTTCTTCGTCTTCTTCACTACTCCCTCGATGTTCTTGTACGCTCCCCAAGCCGCTCGTTTCCTCCTGCTCAGCTCTGGAGCTAGATCGTTCATCATATTGATTTCCCGACCTAGGTACACGTAGCTGGAGCATTCGGTGATGTTCGTTCCGTTGAGCGTGAATGGGGCATCAGGAACCAATCCGTTTCTCATAAACATCGTCTTCGTTAGGTTCAGCTGTAGACCGACCTTACCACAGGCGCAGTCGAAATCAGCCAGCATTCGCTCCGCTTGCTCGATGTTCGGCGTTATAAGAACGATGTCGTCAGCAAAACGAAGGTGGTGTAGTTGCCGGCCGTCGACCTTCACTCCCATGTCTTCCCATTCCAGTTGACGCATGACGTTCTCGAGAGCGGCGCTGAAGAGTTTGGGCGAGATGGTGTCGCCCTGTCGAACCCCTCTCTTGACGTCGATGATGACCTCCTTGTAGAATGGTGAGATTCTGGTCGTAAAGTTGCTGTAGAGCTCACGAAGAATCTTGATGTACTGAGTAGGGACGCCCTGGTTGCCCAAGGCTTCGATGACCGCTTCTGTCTCCACAGAGTCGAAGGCAAGTCGATGAACGTGAGACAAAGCGGCATCTTGTACTCTCGTGATACTTCAGTAAGTCTTGTAACCGTGGTAGATCGTGCCAAACGTTCTCGAAAGCATGGCTGTCCTTCATGCAGTATTCTGCAAATGTTAAGGATGACTCGGTGAATAGTACACAGATTACAGACAGCAGGCAGATTGGGCGATAGTTGCCAATGTCGTCCAGTCTCCCTTCTTGTACAGCAACACGGTCCTGCTGGTTTTCCACGGAGTGGGTACCTTGCATTCCAAAAAGTAGCGCGTGGAGAGTCGAGCTTTAGCGAGTGGAACCATATCATTTCTTTTGCCGGCTCTTGGGAGAATTCCGTGATCGGAAAGATCGACAAGGAAACTGTCGGCTCGTTGAACATCTGTGCCTTCCTGCCGCTATAGTGTGATAGCGGCAGGAAGGCAGAGTTTGGAAGTCAAAAAATCTGTCTTCGGAAACTCTCGAGCTGATACGCCAACGTGGAGCCGCACGAGCTGCAGGCAATCACCAACTCACGTCCGAGCTTGCGAAGCTATGCAGAGAGGCGATAAAGGAAGATCTCAAGGAGCGAAGAGCAGCAGTATTAGCTGAAGCAGCAGAGGCTGGGAGGAGCATCCGCAATGCCCGCCGAAGCTTTGCCAGCTAAGACCAAGATGACCTGCCTCCGACGTCCGGATGGAACAGTTACTGCATCCCGAAGGGCAATGGAGAAAGTCATCCACGACTTCTACTCGGATCTCTTCGATAGCCATGTCCATCTGCCCACTTATCAACTGCAACAGGATGGATACGTCGTCCCCTCAGTTCTCTCTTCCGAAGTCCGACACGCCATCAAGTCGGTGAAGAATCGTACAGCACCCGGTCTCGACAAGGATGAAACCAGGAACATCTGAAGAAAGCACCGCCAGTTATCATCAAAATCCGAATCGAAGTCAACATAAAAGCATATCTGCCTTTGACACGTTGGCGACCAAGCGGATTTTGAAGTGTTTTTCACGTGGAGTCACGGGAAACCAGCAAGTTTTTGCCTTATACAAGCTGTCAGTATAGCAAACTCTGTGTGCTGATCACGAATGTGGCGTTTTTCTGGAGCACTCGCGCCGTTCGGCGCCACGAATTTCCCCTTCTCAAATTTGGCAAACATCTTTGTGTAGGAGGTATCCCAACCCCTGAGCACGAATGTGACCCTAATCACGGACATTTGCAGCGTTAAATGGCTCCAACTGGCGCAAATTTAGCGTGTACCTTCACCTTGAGTGGAAGTAGTTGTTAGGGAGACTACAAATGCGATGAAGAAGATGATCTTGAAAGTGTGGTCAAAATGGTCAAAAAGTGTGGTCAACGTGGTCAAAATGAGTTTATTAGCCTTACAAATAAAGAAGCGATCAGAAGAAAAGGGAAACACCCCAAGGTATTGAAACCCCACGCACTATTGTCCCACGCGGTAGAAAAGATGTCGCGCGACGTCGGGTGCCATTGTCGCGAATGTGTTAGTGACGCTGGCACATGTGACAGATTTCGCACTAAACAAATGTGACATTACTCAGGGAATTAAAGTACCTCATGGAGAATTTTCAAGCAAATCTGAAGTTTTGACTCAGCATCAAGAAATGGTGGGAGCACCAATTATAGTTAGTTATACGGGCTGGGGGAAGGCACCACGATTCTTCTATCTTTCAAGTTGGGTCAAAATCCCAGATTTGTCGATTTTGTTTGAGCAATGAGAGAAGAGCCCGGACAGCAGGAGTTACGCATAAGGTCTTTATACCAATCCGAGGAAAGTTTCAGTGGAGGTGTCAACGAGGAGTCTTAGATACCTACCCAAATGAAGCAAAACGGCACTGGAGCAGTTATGGGGTAGAGGCCGAGTACCATTATACAACGAGCCCATACGGCCAGTCTTTCCTCACTCTCCCTAGTCTGTGCCTTAGGCCGCTTAGGTAAGGAGTGTTAGCAATTTCCATGTTCTCTGTTTCTCCTCGCTGCGCGCTCCATCCACCAATCGTATATGACCTTCCTTCCTTTGTCAGACTCTCTCCTCTTTTACGGTCTCTAGCACATCTTAGAACCGAGTCATAACGTTTTTGGATAACTTTGCCTTGATTGGTGCAAACCTCCCATCTATAGCTGTTGAGCTCCCATCCGTCGAACTCTACCCATTTCCTTCAAGGTCTCCGTGATCTCTCAGAATCGCGTTATTAATGCTTCATGGACAATTGCGCCTACATTGTTGCAGCCCCTCCCAAGTATAGCTGTTGACATCCCTTCCTTCGCCGACCTCTAAGGAATTTTCGCATCGGGGGAGAACCTGCGCCACACGGAGCAATTACTTGGCTGCCAAGGAAGCGATGTGTGGTCCTCCCACGGCGAAAGGTGCTGTGGTTGCTGAGCAGGACCCGCGTGACGCCCCGCCCCCAGTGACGTGACGCCCACTAGTTTTGTTGATGATCTGGATGGACTGTTTGCTGTTGGCTTTTCATTTTGGATGATCATTTCCCTTCTAGCGGCTGTATCTTTACTTCGTTCTTTACCTTCGCTCATCCATGGTCGAAAATGAAAGGGCAATCAAAGGGGTACTATTTTGCTTATTTTTGACGGATTTCTTTGCTTTTTTCGCCATTGGCGTACTATTGAGACCCCCACGTCCCCTCTAAACCCCTTTGAGATCTATCGTAATCG